TATAAATAAAATGTAATATAATTTAAATTAATTTAGATTTGAAGTTCTAATGAAAGGTGATGAATTATTATCTGAATTTCTAATGAGTGTTGAAAAACTGATAAAATTATTATTTGAATATTCAAAACTTAAATAATAATTGGTTGATTATTATTTAAGTTTTAAAGTTGGAAAAAGTTCGATGGATTTATTTTTTGAATTTTTAAAATTGCAGAATGATTAATGATATATTCAATGTAAAATGTATATAAAATAAAAATTAAGTATAATATGAATTTTTAAAGTTTTAATTCGATTTTTATTCGGACAAACCATACGACTATATACATATGGTTAAAATCTGTTAAATTATAAAATAAATTATATTACTTTTTTTATAATTAATAAGGCATATTGTCTTTCTAGTTTATTGATTTTAAATTTAATTAATATATAATATTAATGAAAATTTATAGTTACTATAAACTAATAATTGTTATAAAAAAAACAAAAAATAGTAAGAGAGAGAAAAAGGGGTGAAATGTTGTCATTTTTTAAACTTTTAGATGATTTAATGTTATTCTATAAAAAAAATTGACATTTTAATTACACCCTTGTAAGTAAGGGGTGCAAATAACAACCCCTTTTTGAAAGTCAGTCAAGCAAGAAGGAAGGTAAATATTTTGAGATGTTTTTAGACTGTTAGTCTCACCTGACTTTTTTAGCTGATTTTTTTCAAATTTATTTATTTATTTAATCAGATATCAGTTAATAGAGTAACTTGCATTTTTCGTCCATGTGGTTTGTTAAATTTTATGGATTTTGTTCTTAAAGTTTTGCAATTGTGGTTTTTGTCTTTATGATTTGCGTTTCATTTTTATTTTCGTCCCTAAGGCTAAAAATTGCCTTTAAATGTGTGAGACTAAAACAGAAATGAATTGTAAACCACATAGATGAAAAAATCAATAAAGTTTAGATCATAAAAATGAAAACAGTAATGAATTTATGAAGATGAAAAATGTAATTTCAAAATCACAGAGATGAAAATAGAAATTTTCGACAAACCAAAAGGACGAAAAACATGATTTACTCGTTAATATAAGATTAACTGCTAAGTTTACTTCTTCAGGTTTAATGAAAAGTCTAAAAATGTGATCTGGACTTTAATAGATCTAGAAGTAATTCTTACGGTTTGCATTTCGATCTCAAAATGGTTTATGGTCACTAACTCCGTTAAAAATACCTGTTAAATGAGGGGTATTTCTGTCATTTCGATCTCAAAATGGTTTANTCACTAACTCCGTTAAAAATACCTGTTAAATGAGGGGTATTTCTGTCATTTCGATCTCAAAATGGTTTATGGTCACTAACTCCGTTAAAAATACCCGTTAAATGAGGGGTATTTCTGTCATTTTACCCTCTCTTTTTTCCTTATCATAGATTAAATAAACTTAAAACTTTGTAAATCCCACACCCCAAACCACAACCCCAACCCCAACCCAACCCAACCCCACCATGCCCCAACCCTGTCTTGATCTCTTCCGTCTCCAACCCAACCCACCTGACTAGAACTTCTTCCTCAACCAGACTCATCTATCCGTGTTGACTTGATCCAATTAACATAACTACATATAAAATAGGGAAATTGTATCAGATAGATATTCCACCCATTCAAATTGGTCTAGTAGTCATGTAACACTTCAGTATCGCATTTGCATATAATCATATATTTCATATATCAAGAAATATAATTTACACATCTGATCCTAATACTACAAAAGCTATATTAAAAAGTAATTATCAAAATTTTCCACAAAATATCAATACAAAACTTATATACATAACAAATATTCAAATATATAAGATATCACATCATCCCAAAAGCAATCATATATTCTTCATACTTTCTCTTTCCCTTATCATTAGACTGTGTATGACATGTAATGCACATTTTGAAATACAAATGAAGGTTAGACCTTGAGGTCTAGTGATAGATCTTTTTGTTTGTTATTACAGGGTGAAAAATCACCAAAACGCTTTTATAAACCCATATTTGTTTAAATAACAAATAAACAACGTTTTAACAAACAAACATCTTTTGTCGCATCTATAAGATGAGACATCACCAAATTATCGTATTAAATAACCAAATGACTCATTTATCGCATTATATAAAAACTCATCGCATCATACAGATAAAATCATAAATTCCTCGCATTATATGGGTGAGACAACCCCAATTCCTCGCAACATACTCGTGCAAGAATTTCATCTCATTAGTGCGATAAACCCAACTTGTCGTATCACAAAGATGCAATAAATCAACTTGTCACATCACAAAGATGCGATAAA